CACACACACACACACACACACACACACACACACACACACACACACACACCCACACACACACACACAATGAAAATAATAATTTAATAATAATAATGTATTGTTATGAAATAAATCGCTTAATAAATTATCGATAGATACATTAAATGTCATAAAATAATGAGCATTTTTTAGAATGAATAAGTTCAAAATATTCGTCAACCTTATTTAAATTTTTTTTTTCAAATTCTAACTTGGGTTCTAAGTCACTTTTTGGTACTATCAGTTTGTCTTTATTTCAAATACTGTAAGTGAGTATATTTCTGGTTGTTTTTAAGTTATTCTCCTTGTGCAGGCCGCGTGCTGGGGCATCGGAGTTTTGGGACTGTTAAAATTATTTTAAACTATTCATAACTACTATCCTTATCTACATATTAATTACAAATATTACACTTTTTTTACTCTCGGTACAATTGTCGGTGTCAGTTTAATGGGATCATCAAACATAGGTTCATTTACAGGTACTCGTTTTCTTTTTTCATATAAGCATACCGATATACCGACTAGGGGTATGATTATCAATACTACGGTCATGGTTATGGTTAACGGGTTCCAAAAGCTGTCAGCCTTCTCGTCTGGATCTTCGGGTTCTACAGTCGTCTCCGTGGTAGTTGTATAAGGTTCTGTCGTTTTATCTTCATCAGACTCTGTGGTAGTGCCGTCGCCAGACTCTGTGGCAGTGCCGTCATCAGACTCAGTCGTAGTGCCGTCACCAGACCCTGTCGTAGTGCCGTCACCAGATCCTGTCGTAGTGCCGTCACCAGACCCTGTCGTAGAGTCGTCACCGGACTCTGTCGTAGTACCGTTACCAGATTCTGTCGTAGTACCGTCGCCAGACTCTGTGGCAGTGCCGTCATCAGACTCAGTCGTAGTGCCGTCACCAGACCCTGTCGTAGTGTCGTCATCAGACCCTGTCGTAGTGCCGTCACCAGACCCTGTCGTAGAGTCGTCACCGGGCTCTGTCGTAGTACCGTCACCAGATTCTGTCGTAGAGCCGTCGCCAGGCTCTGTCGTAGTGTTTTGGTCATAAATAACACAGTCCTCGTGAGTTTCTTCAATTTCAGGAGGTATGTAACGGAAGTTGTCCAATAGGATTTCTGAACCAGAATTTTTGGAACTCATAATTGATACCTGCAGAAAAAAATCTATGTATCGTTCACCTAATCTTCGGTGGATATAACCTACATCAAGGAAGGCCACGCCTCTAACTACACTGCGATTTTTAGTTATTTATTATTACCTATGTAAAAAAATATATTGGAATGAATAACATTGCTAATTAAGGGGAAGACAGGTGCATATTGTATATTTAAAAATTAAATAAAAATAATAGCGTAATAGAAAATCCATAACATAGGTTTACCTACCACAAGCTCGAAACATGAGTATACAGAACTTTGTTTCTCCGAGAACCATACGGCTTTTATTGAACAGATTTTGTTAAATTTCTACGAAAACACGTTACTAAGTCGCGTTTGTGATAAGCGCCGAGTATAAAACCAGAAATAGAGACGAAATGTCATTTATTTTGTTAGAAAACTATTCAGCAAAATGACAACTAGTGACAACTGCGCTCCGCTTGGACAGCCCGAATTACAAATATCACATTACAGTTGGGCAAGCAAATGTATTATCGAAATCGATAGTCAAGATATATATAAAAAATGTCAAAACATACAGTTTTGTATATATATACATAAAAATGAAATAAACTTTTACTTTACTTTGTAAGGGCACAGGCGCAGTCGTGTTTTTTTTAAAGTAAGTAGATATAAAAATAACTAAAATAGATTTTAGCCAGGTGAGGGATAAGGGAAAAACTGCCATGTTTACAAACGCCATTTAATATGCACAAACTAGATGCCTAAAAATACAGGTAGGTACCTACTTATTTAATTAGTTTAGGCATCGTTACTACACTATTAGAGTTTTAAGATTTAATTGAATAGCTTTATGAAGGTTGCATAATATTTAAGGTTAATTTTTTACTGTTTAGCTACCTTTACATATGTTTCACTTGTATATTTTGATTAATTAAGTTAGGAAATATATTGTACTCATTATACATTATACTCATGGCTCAATACTTAACTACGATGATGTTAGATGTAATTTATTTTTACTTTACCGATTGTTCAAATAAATCATTATACAGTAATAATTATACTTGCAAATATCGATACATACTATGATTTTTTCCGTGCAACACTAGTAACGCGTGCCTAATGAATAAAATGAGATGACGTAATGGATTATTTAGATGGAAGCAAGACGCATAAATGTTCGAAGCAATTGACAGGTGTCGTCAATTGTTTCACTTCAAAACGACCAGTATAACTTGAGCTTTGTTATAATGGACAAAAATTTAAAAAAATACATATGTAATATTTAATTACCGTTGAAATGTGATTCAGTTTGTTTTGTAATTAGACGTTTTGCTGTTTTCCCACACCACCGAATGGAACAGCCCCCCATAGTTAGAGATATTATCTTTATTATAATAAATACAGAATATTTTTGGAATATACGGAGACGTCCACACAGGTCAGTTGTTGGCGCTGTACTAGTTCAGCTTTCTAATTTGTGATTTCAGTGCAAACGAGAGTGATATAAGGACCATTTACCTGATGAGATGCCACGGATGGATGGCACTTATTTCGTCACTATTTCTGGTTATATACTCGACGGTGATAGGTTACCATAATGTAGTATAATATTGTATACTTACAAAACCTGTGTAGGTGCCATTGTTACCCATCAGAAATGTCATTGTGTTCCAAGCATTGTTATTAACGCCAGGTTCGGTCGCTGTGAACGTTCTAGCATTTTGCCCTATTTGTCCCGTGTTTTGTATCTCATTCACAATAACTGTCAGAAATTCATGTGGCAACTGAGTTGACATATAAAAAGTAACTTCCAGGTTCCCTGTAGCATTAATTGTAAACTCATATGATGACGTACACGATAATCCATTTGGTGTTATAAACGTAGTGCTAGACTCATGCGGAGGCTCTATATTAATATCTTCATAATGACCAACTTCCCATTCGCCTGGTAGAGGTTCACACTGATCGATGGAGTCATCGAAATCTTCCAAACCATTTTCAAAGTTTAGAACCACACAAGTCCCTTCCGATCCTACTACTTCACTGGTTACTAAAGGTAGTACAACTGCGATGAATAACGAAATAAACCAAGACATGGTAACTTGTTCGTCTTCGACACAACACTAATTGGATAAATAATTAGAGCTCGAAAAATCCTTTCTTGTTAATTCTGTGATAAGATACTCTTCGAATACGGTTTATTGATATGCGTATTTAAAATCTATTCCGTCTAATACGTAAACCAGCGACTAATACAACAAGGAGCTTAGTTGTTGTTATTACTACATTAATCACCTTGTCATATGATGATTTATTTAACATTTTTATGCAAGATAAGCAATGAGACAATCGCAAGTTTTTAAATTTTGTGATTCTAACAGCGGTTACAGACGGGGAGTTTTAAGGAACGCGTTTGCAGTGATTCATTCGCGATGCAGTCGCTACTCGTCTACCTTTACACACACATGGGACTTCAAGGTCAATACTACCTCGAACACTACAATACGAAGCTCGAATTAAAACCTTTTCTCGTACACTGGCTTTATTTCAAATTTTATTTTTTTAGAAACGAAATTAAAACCATTCGAAAAATGTGTATCATACACTATACGTGTTCTATTTAGTTCAGTTGATATAAAAAAAATAGTAGTATCGTATAGAATATAGCGGTTTTCTTGTCAAATTTCGAGGTAAGTTTGTGTTTTTTTCCTATCGTGAAAATTTTTAGGAATCGTGTAGTACCCGCTCACGCGATACATGCAGCCGTAGACGCATACCATACCTAGAGGTGCCGGTGTTGATTTTATACCGATTTATCGGATATCGAAGTTATAACAAGGAAAAGAACTAATATTAATTGCTATTTCTGTAACTACTCTCGCAAACCATAAATTTTTTAATGTCTGGGTCTGTCATTTAAAAAAAATAAACAACTTCAAAAACACGTCACGACAATCGTGTGTGTTATTGTTTGGGCTGGTGATTTCGGTGTTTATTTATTGAAAACATACCGTAAGTAGCGTTTTTTAAGTTTACCCTGAATATAAATGTTTATAAACTATACTTTAAGGAGTAATTTCATGGTAAACGTTAGAACCACTCAAACGGAATAGTATCATATTTATCCAAGTACACCAAAAATTTCATTAGTGCTTTTTAAGTGCTGGATTTGCGGTGTATTACTGCATTTTATTTTTTTTTAGGGTATTTATGTAGCAATGCAGAATAATAATTTTTATTTATAAAAGCTTGTATTTAAACTGAATGCTTTTCTAACTTGCGAAACCAAATAGCCGCCATTTTGCGGTAGGAGGAGCGCATCGCGTGAGCGCGGGTAATCAGTATATCCTCAATTTTACAACATATTTTGTCCAAAGCGATTGATTCAACGCTTTCACTGTTATGCGGAATCAACCAAAGCCATTTGAGGTTGTATAGACTCTTAAACAGCGATACAATCGCGATGCAAACGTAATGCAATTGCGATGCAAACGAGGTACACATTTTGAATTTATTTATTTCACTTAAAATTTACAATTAATAAAACAAAAACAATGTGCATAAACCAATACAGATTTTTGGTACATAATGATTAAACACAAGCGACTGTGACAATCGCCTATAAAACACAAGTTTCGCGATGCAATCGCGTGTTTATAAAGTCGCTGTATGTAACCGCCCTTAAGACACATTGAATATTTTCTTGAAAAGCTCGATTTACTACTTCATAAATGTTATAACAAATATACGAATAAGAAAATCGTTGTAGCTGGCGACTTTAATTTAAACATGTTGGAAACAAATCCGCATACTAAACGATTATTTGACATTCTAAAGAAGTACAATCTTACCTTACACATTACAGAACCTACGAGAGGAAAATCATCCCTTGACCTTATGATTAGTAATGTCCGTGACGCTTTTGGTTCAATTTTCCAGTTATGGCTATCCGATCATAACACAGCACAAATACTAAAAGTTAAAGTCTGCGAAAAAACTTCCTGACAACACATTTACTTAACAAAAGATGTTATTCTAACGAAAACCTACGGAAATTTACAGAGTATTTACGTCGCCTTTTCAGACATATACAAACACATGTCCTTGAACAAGCATTGCATGATTTCTACGATCTTTTTTGCCTTATATACAAACTCTGTTTTCCAATAACAAAACTGAAAACAAAATAACGTTAAAATCAAGGTGGGTAACGACATATTACGATTGATACAAATACAAACATTACAATAAATTGTCCAAAAAATATATTAATTGTTCAAAGAAAATAGCTAATAAAAAATATGTACTAAACAGCAAGAATGTATGTAAAGCAATGTCGCCCATGTTGCAAAATGATGCGTAAAAAAAAAGAAATTAGTAATAACTGTTCCAAAAATAATATTCATAAAATTATAGATAATGACATTGAAATAACGGAGCCAATTAAAATTGCAACTAAAATTAATAATTATTTTTTATTTCACGATACGACATAATGCACGATATACTATCCCTAATAATAAAATTTTAAATTCAATTTTCCTAACTCCTGTAGACGAGAAAGAAATTAGTTTAATTATAACGTCGCTAAATAATACCCCGTCGAGGGTAATGACTCTATTATGTGCTAAAGTCGTAAAACATTACAAGGATCAAATAAGCCATGTACCTACTTGTCTTTTTAATTAATCTCTCTTTAGAATCTGGAACTTTAACGAAAAATTAAAATGTTGCATCGTAACACCAATACATAAAAAAGAAGACGCAACAGACATTACATTTTATCGACCCAATTCCAGTTTCTTAAAAAATATTAGAACGAGTCATGTACAATCAACTTACATCGTACTTCAATAGTTTCAAAATTATACAAGTCCATGCACTATAGAAGTCAATACACATGCGTCATTTCATATACTAATTGTATGAAGATTTTACAAAATGTAAATAGAAAACTCTACACGACGGTTATAGTTTTTAGAGCCTTTGATTTAGTTGCACATGATACACTGCTGACTAAATTGGAACATAATGGATAAATATGCCTGAAATAGCTGGTTAGAATCATATCTGAATAACCTAACCTCCGGTTAAAAAACCGACCTCAAGAGTCATTCATCCCCTAGTTTGCCACCCGTAGAGGTGGAATATTTTCTTGAAATTTAAAAGGTACCACATCTGAGGTACCTTCTTTCCAACAAAAAAGAATCATCAAAATTGGTTCACAATGGCGGAGTTATCGCGTAACACACATACAAAAAAAACATACTGCCGAATTGAGAACCTCCTCCTTTTTTGAAGTCGGTTAAAAATAGGTAACAATGTGTAGAAATCTTAACTCTACTTATTATACAAATCTGTATTGAAATCTATAAATCCAACTTTAAGAACAATAATTACGAAGTTCCCCAGGGTAGTATACTTGGTCCCCTGCTGTTTCTATTATACATTAATGACATATGTGAATGCACGGAACATGATACAATTCTTTTTGCGGACGATGTATCAGTGGTTGTCAGTTCTGCAATATATTCAACATTGGAAGAACACAATAATGAATTATTAAAACATTGACATCGATGTCAATTGAATGGCTACAAGAAAATAATTTTCAATTAAATTTATCTAAGACTAGTGTAATGAATTTTAATAATTTACAGAATCAAATAGTTAGTATGAATTATAACTGACAAGTTTTGCAGAACGCCACTGATGTGACATTTCTAGGATTAATTGTAGATTATAAGCTGAATTGGAAACAACAAACGGAGAAAGTGTGCACTAAAATAAATAGATTTGCTTTTGCTCTGTATAAATTGACAAGAGTGGCAAATAAATGCATAGCAATGACAGCGTATTTTGCGTATGTAGAATCTGTACTCAGATACGGCCTTATTCTTTCGAGGAATGACACAGACTTTGGTAAAGCTTTTATTGCTCAAAAGAGTTTAATACGAGCCATCTGCAACTTAGCACCAGATTCATCATGCCCCTTTTAAGACTCTAAAAATATTCACTCAGCCCTATTTATACATACTCGAAAGTAGTATATTTGTAAAGACGAATCAACATAAATTTATACTGGCTGAAGACATGACTGCTGAAAGCGTAAGAAACCCCAATGAACACTAGGCACAACTAAGTATTAAGACAAATGCTTCTAAAACAACTGTTACGCAATGTGTGGAAAGAATTTTGATGAGCATATTCAATCACTTCCTTTGATCAGTTTTAATAAAGACTGCGTAAATGGCTATTAGAAAAATAATTTTATTCGGTTGACGATTGTTTCAAATTTAAAGACTGAACCGTATCGATGCATACTATGTTAATCTTGGTTTAGCTTATCTAATTTATTGATGAATTATGTTATAATGTATATTATTAAATTTGTATGCTTTTGCCAAGGCTAAATTGGATTAAGTTCACCAATTTAATTTTAATACCAACATTTATAATGTACCTAATACAAGCCTAATACCCTATTTATAGCAATGAAATTTGATTTAATCTTATTCTACATAGTTTTTGAAGCCATATCTCGGACAATAACCCAAAAACCAATTTTCAGAACTAGAAGAAGTTACAGTAGAAGTAGAGCTCTTTGTGAAAGAGGGAGAATTGGCGAGGATGTAGGTTATATTTTTCTGTATATAATGGAGCAATAAACATGTTTGACGTAATTCCACTTATGCGATTCTTCCAGGTGCGATTATTAGATTCGAATGATTTAAATGTGAAACACATAGAGAGAGAGAGAGAGAGAGAGAGAGAGAGAGAGAGAGAGAGAGAGAG